AAATTTTAATGAATATGAACTAGAAAAGGACGACATTATTTTAAAAGGATATACAGGACATATGATCAAACCATTAGGCTATTTTTATGCAAGTACCATTTTTAATAAAGTTATGAAACTAGTAAAATATCATGTCATAGACAATAAGGGACCAAACTTATTAGGTAGGAACTTTTTGCATGATTTTAATGTTCAATTGACAGTGACAGAGGTGAATAACCTCGAAGATGAAAAAGATAAAATTATAAAAGACTACCCAGAGGTATTCACAGAGAAATTGGGAGAATATAAATTTTTAAAAGTTGCTATACCACTGAAGGAGAATACTAATGCAATTTTTCTGAAACCTAGGCCTGTTCCATTAATATATAAATCCAAGATTGAAGAGGAATTGGAGAGGCTAACTAAGGAAGGAGTGATTCAACCAGTAATGGCTAGTGAATGGGGCACACCAATCGTCCCAGTGCTGAAAACCAACAACACACTGAGGATCTGTGGTAACTACAAGATCACCGTCAACAAACACCTGGAAAATGTCAGATATCCGTTACCAAAAATCGAGGATATGTACACAAAACTGAATGGAGGTATGTTATATACAAAACTGGATTTGAATCAAGCATATACGCAACTGGTGTTGGAGCCAAAAGCACAAGAATTGTTAACATGGTCAACACATAAGGGACTATATAGGATGCAGAGAATGCCATATGGGATAGCATCAGCCAGCGCAATTTTCCAGAAAACTCTGGAACAGCTATTTCAAGGTATGACAGAAGTTATTAACTACTTAGATGATATAATAATAACGGGGCGAACAATGGAAAGTCACATACAAAACCTAACAAAAGTGCTAGATAAATTAAAAGAAGCAGGGTTAACTTTGAAAACAGAGAAATGTGAATTTTTCAAAAAAGAAATCGAATATTTAGGGCATGTTCTTACTAGTGAAGGATTAAGAAAATCTGAATCAAAAGTAAAAGCAATAATAAAAGCACAAAGACCAAGCACAGTAACGCAAGTAAGGTCTTTTTGTGGAATGGTAAATTACTATGCCAAATTTGTACCGAATATTTCTCAAATTTTATCTCCAATTTACCAATTGCTATTGAAAGAGAATGAATTTGAGTGGACAGAAAAATGTGAACAAGCTTTTGTCACTATTAAAGATATGATTGCCCAAAACATCACCCTAACCCATTTCGACCCAGATAAACCTATTATTTTAGTGACTGATGCATCAAAGGAAGGAATTGCAGCCATAATGTATCAGAGGGATGACCAAGGAGTGGAAAGACCAGTAGCCTGCACATCAAGAACATTGATGCCAGCAGAAAAAGGGTATGCCACAATCGACCTGGAAGCATTAGCAATAATACATGGAGTTCGAAAATTTTCCACCTATTTACAAGGGATTCCATTCACTATAAGAACTGACCACAAACCACTGATAGGGTTATTCAAAGAAACCAGAGAAATACCGTTGAGGCATAAGGACAGATTACAAAGATGGGCAGTGTTTTTGTCAGGTTACAATTATGTTCTAGAATACATGCCTTCATCTCCAAAGTGATATGAATGCTGCTCATTCATGGTCCCTTATAAATGATCTGCCATTCAACAAATCGAAATGTATGGTATTGTCCTGTACAAGAAAGAAGGGAACACTAAAACACCAATACACCATCGAAGACGACAGATTAGTGAGAGTAGAGAAAATAAAAGACTTAGGTATCGAGTATGATACTACACTGTCATTCAAATCACACATTGACCGGGTTTGCGCACAAGCACTAAAAAGTCTGGGGTTTGTACTTAGGAATAGCAAACATTTTCGAAACTGGGAAACAGTTCGGTTTTTATATAATTCACTGGTTAGACCTAAGCTAGAGTATTGTTCTGTAATTTGGCACCCAACATCAATAGTACAAACTCAGACATTAGAAAAAGTGCAGAATCGCTTATTACGTTACCTTTATCTTAAAAAATATAATGAATACCCAGACTACGTAACTATACGATCACTCAGGCTTCGAAATGAGTTCAATATAAAGAGCTTGGAAACTAGAAGACAATTATCACTTGTGACCATGTGCTATAAATTGTATAAAAAAATGTATAACTGTCCTAAACTAAAATTACTTCTAACGGTAAGAATCCCCTCTCGTGCAACCAGACTCCAACAATTTTTCGAAATACCTCTCCCTCCCACACGTAATTATTGTTCACCTGTTACTACCATGGTGAAACAAACTAACAATACGTTGCAATTATCAGATCTCAGTTTTGATCTCACTCCGAAGAAATTTTTTGTTGGACTCCATCAATATCTATCTGGACCTACCTTAATTTAATATATATACTATGTCAATTTACTTTCAACCGGTTTTTTGAGTATTAATTATTACCTGTAAGTATGTTATTAGCTTCGATTATTAGCTGTAGATAAATACTATTTTTCTCATGTAATTAAGTTCTTGTAACTTGTTTGAGAAATAAATAAATAAATAAATAAATAAAAGGATCACAAAATTATTTTGCAGACTGTATGTCCAGAATACCAATGAAAATAAATACAGTGTCAGACGAACATAATTGGGAGGGATACCTGAATTTTGCTGAAACCACCAATGAATGGCCTGTAGATAATAACAAAGTAAGGGAAGAAACAGAGAAGGATGAAGAATTACAACAGGTGAAAACTTTTATACAAGAGGGATGGCCAAGAAAGGTACACGAAAAATATAGACCTTACTTCAATAGACGAGAAGAACTAACTATGGACAATGGATGTATAGTATGGGGAAAACGAATCATAATCCCTAAATCACTGCAGAAAATGATGTTAGATGAGCTTCATAGTGGACATTTAGGCATAACCAAGACCAAATCACTAGGACGATCATACCTATGGTGGCCAAAAATGGACGAGGCTATAGAAGTGAGGACAAAAGCATGTGTAGCATGTTTGAAAAGTCTACCCGACCCACCTAAAGCCGAACCAACACCATGGCCCATAGCGGAAAGAGCATGGGAACGAATACATATTGATTTTTTTGAGCTAAGACATGGTGAGAATTAGGGCGAAGTGGGGTAAATGTGAACTCGGGGTAATTGAAAACACCGTTGGGTATAACAGAGTATTCAAAATTGGCCAGTTTCGCGCGTTCACGCTAGCCGACACACCTCTGCCGGCAACGCTTCCGCTCATTTCAGTTCAGTTGAGTTGATCCGATGTTCGCATTGACGAAAAGTTTTTGACGGTTTCATAAGATTAATTGTTCGTTTCGATCACTAGTATTGGTAGTTCGTGTTCATAGTGCTTTGAGGTAAGTTTTCAATTGGATATTGCTTACTATGGTACTGATATGATGTGAATAAGTGTATTCCATAGATCTAACCTCTAAATTCATATTGTGAACAGAGCAAATTAGCGTTTACAATTACCCCTACGAAATCTGCTCGAGGGGTAAATGTGAACACCGGTTTGGGGTAAATGTAAACAACAAATCCACATAACCAAATCATATTCATTCAATTCCAGGAAAACAAAAAGATGCCCAGAAAGTATATTAAGAAGAAAACTGCGGGGAGGTACACTCAAGACGATATCCTGAGGGCAGTCAGTGACGTGAAGAACAAAAATTCAACTTATCGTCAGGTTTCACGAGAATATAATATTCCGGTAGCAGTTATCTTCCATAGAATAAAAGGCAGAAGTGTACCTGAAACCAAAATGGGAGCAGGACGCTCCACTGCTTTAAGTGCCGAAGTAGAAGAGCAAATAGTAGAATGTTTGAAGGCTCGAGCACGGATGGGTTATCCATGTAACAAGGAAGAGTTGCGAGATCTAGTTGCAACATTTGTTCAACAAAGAAATATAAAAACACCTTTCAAGGACGGCCGGCCTGGTTTAGACTGGTATTATAGCTTCATGAATCGCAATAAAACTCTGTCCTTCAAGAAGCCTGAGCATCTTCAGAAAGCAAGAAAGGATCAGAGAAAACCAGAAGTCATCTATAATTTCTATAAAAAATTAGAAGAGGTGGTTATCAAAGAACAAATTGATGATGCTGAGTTTGTTTTCAATGCTGATGAAAGTGGCTTTGGAAATGATCCCTCAAGGATAAAGGCTATTGGGGAACGTGGAAAGACCCTGTCAAGAGTTTCTGGTGGCTCTGGAAGAGAATCAACAAGTGTTCTTGCTTGCGTAGCTGCTAATGGTTCATTTTTGCCACCGTTCATCATTTTCAAAGGTGGTGCTGTACAGGCTAGATGGACCTCACCCAAGGCATATCCAGGAACTGTTTATTCTGTGTCTACAAATGGATGGATGGAGGAACCGCAGTTCTTCAATTGGTTTGAATCTGTCTTTGTTAAGTGGGTGAAAAACTTAAGAATAGCAAAAAAATTACCAGACCAGAATGCCTTACTGTTGTTCGATGGACATAAGAGTCACATAAGTTTGAGAATCATTGAATGTGCAGTGGAAAATAAAATCATATTAGTCAAGTTTCCAAGCCATTTGACAGACAGGCTTCAGCCGTTGGATAAGTGCGTTTTCGGACCGGTGAAAACTTGCTGGGAGAAAAAACTAATTGCCCATGGGAAGAAACATATGGGGCACGGAGCAGGGCGATTGAAGAAGAATGAATTCACTGAAATTCTGGCAGAGGTCTGGGAGGAAGCTTTTACAGAAAAAAATATCATTTCCGGATTTGTTTCTACAGGAATATTTCCAGTCAACGCTGAGAAATTTCCAGAAGATGAATTCAATCCTACTGATCTGGCAAGATTCAAAGAAAAGCAGCGAAAAATTGCGCAAAATGCTGGAGTTCAACAGGGTGAATTCACTGATATCGAAGGAGGAACAAACGACACTGAAGAAACTCAAGAAGACGCAAGATTAGAACGACTTCAATCAATTCCGTCCACATCTGCTTGTTCAAGTACTAATCATATTAGTGTTGCTTCAAATATTGTTGCTGTGTTTTCATCAGCAATCGTTAAAACTTTGAATGTTGACTCAACCAGAAATTCTGCTGAGCCAAAGAAAGTCATACCAAGATTGAAACAGGCCCAATATGGAGAGATATTAACAACTGCTGAAGTTATCGAACGACTCAAAGAAGCAGAACGTCAGAAAGAAGAAAAAGCCTCTCGACAATGTAAATTCCGCTCGAAGAAGATCTCCAATGAAAAACAGAAAGGAAAACGCAAACAAGATATTGGAAGCGAAGAAGAGCACGAAGTTGTTCCTTACGATGAAAACTCGGATGGAGAGATCAATGCGGATGAATGGGCAGAAGAAGTGGTAGCTGAAAACTATCCAGAGGTAGAATATGAACTGCCAGAGTGGCCCTCGATTCAGCCTGGAATGTACCTACTGGTAAAATCTCTTGGGGGATCCAGGAATAGCATAACCTATAAATATGTCTGTCGCGTGCGTGATGTAGATGAAGAAACTGGAGACATTGAAGTTGTCGGATTCAGACGCAATGATAGATTTGGAGCTGAATATGTCGAGAAAGAAAATGATATTTCTTCAATTGACTTCGGAATGATCGAGGCCGTGCCACCTGATCCGGAAACTTCATACAGAGATAGAAAAGTGATTCACATTTTTCCTGGATCTGTGAGTGTTTTTGAAAAATAAACTTTGTTTTGACTCATTTCGGCCATTGAACTTTAGCTAATTGATTTTTGTAATCATTAAACTTATTTTCACTATGATGCCTTTCACTATTTCGATAGCTCATAGGTCATAACATGGCCCATACGTATATAAAATATCATAGGGGTAATTGCGAACATGCATATAAAAGTACATTACATATATTTAAAATGTTAACTAACGGTGCTGTTCACATTTCCCCCGTCAAGTTTCATCAATAGACGAATAGAACATCAAGAGGCATGTTTCCATTTACCCCTACATTTGGAACAGTCTGATTTTTTGTTGGGGTAATTGTAAACAGCTTTTGAATCTACTATAATCACTAACCGGGAGATGAAACTTGAAGAAAATGCATAAAACATATCAAAGTATATGGGAATCATGGAAATATTCAATAATTTTTTGTTCGACACAACATATAATATTTTCAATTAAGAAATGCAAAAATCGTTTCCATTTACCCCACTTAGCCCTACTTACTAATAGTAGATGCATTAACCAAGTGGATAGAAGTGTTCCCGATGAAGAACATGACAAGCAGAGAAACCGAAGAAAAGTTGAGGGAGACATTCAGCAGATTTGGAATACCAAATACAGTGGTATCAGATAATGGTAGACAACTAGTTTCCAAGGAATTAGAAACATTTTTTACTAAAAATGGCATAAAACATCTTACATCCCCACCATTTAATCCAGCCAGCAATGGCGCGGCTGAAAATGCTGTAAAAACTGTGAAGTACAAACTTAAAGCAGCAATAGCAGCAAATAAATCAGCAGAACCAGTAACAACACTATTGGCAAGATTTCTTTTGAACTATAGAAATACAATGCACTGTTCAACAGGAAAAACACCAGCAGAATTAATGTTCCAGAGGAAATTAAGAACGAGGCTGGATCTATTGTTGAAATCAAGTAAGGGAAGTGGAAATAATCAAGAAGCTGTTGAAAACATGAGAAAAAAAGAAGAAAGTAACTCGAAAAGGGGAGGAAGAAGAATAAAATATGCCATCGGGGAAGCAGTCATAGTCAGGGACTACAGGAAGATGAACACAAAAGGATGGACAACAGCAGAAGTGGAAAAACAAGTAGGAAACGCAATCTACCTATGCAGACTAAATACAGGTGAACTATGGAAAAGACATAAAAATCAAATGAGAAGGAGACATGCAGAAATTCAGGACAAAGTTGAACAAGGGACAACACTGAGGGAGAGCAAGGTACATACACATGAATTCCACAGAGTCAACTATGAAAATGCATCAAAAAGTATAGCAAATGAAAATAGAGGAGAAAGTCATGAGAGAAACAATACCTCTGTCACTGAAACAATTGAAGAACAAAATGTAGATATTGAACAAAATGTAAATAATGAACAAAAGGTAGATAGGGAACAAAATGTAAATAGGGAACAAAATGTAGAGATAGAACAAAAACAAAATAATGAAAAGGTACAAACTCTGAATAGCAAAGTAACCCCTAGACCAAGGTCAACCAGAGTTAGAAAGGCACCTAATTTCTTGAGGGAATATGAAATTGATTACATTGAATTATATAAGAGATAGGATAGGTAGAGGATAGGTAATAAAACCAGAAACAAATGTAGGTAAACAGATTTAAGAAGGAAGGAGTTGTAGTAGATTGTAATTTGAATTTACCGCGCACAAGCGCTGTCATATGAAAGGTCTAGAGGGGGGGCTAGGAGAACAAGGACAGTCAGTCGATGTACGAACCTTGTACAATCCACATGAAAGATAATAATGTAATAATAATCGAAAATGTAAATAAATCAGTATGTCGAATAAAGTACGATCGAGAGTTAAATGTGTTTATTTAAAGTAACGACGAAATATAAAATTTACTATATGTCAGACTGAATGTTCACTGTGAGTATGGTTTCTTCTCAAATTCATAAGGTAAGAATTTGAAGACTATGTTTATTACACCAAAGAAAAATAAAAGCAAATCTTAGCACACCACAGTGCTACTCTACTGTAATTTGATAAGTTTCATCAAAATAATCAGCTAATATTATCTTGTAGCAAATTCAAATGCTACATTGTATCGAAAACATATCTATATATATATATATATAGAGAAGGGAAGTCGTTGCTGACAAGTTAGAGATGAAACTTAGTAGTGGGGAAGCAGCAAGTAAAAGTGAAACTCATGCAAGTTCGTCCAAGCTTTCGGAAAGTTATATTTCCATCATCAGGGCCAGACTACAAAATGTTATAACAATTATAAGCAAAGCTAGTTGACTAAGTGGTGCAGTACTTACAACTCATTGAGGTTGGTTACATTGATGTTACTAACAAGGTATGTATAAATAAAAAAACGTTTGTATAACATATCTGGAACATGACAAATTCAAAAAATTAAAATATTAGGTCAATATCAAAAACGTTGTTGATTTAAAACCATGATGAAACTTTTCTTTTCACAACGTGTGTCAGAATAAAAATCTTTGGTTAGGAAAACTGAACCTTATTCTTCCAATTCACTGGTGATATGGAGCTTAAGTGTGATGACCTTGGTCTTATGGTACCTAGTGCTATTGTGTGTTAGTCACAAGAGTATTGGAAGGAGAAAGTTTTTGAGTTACTAGTAAAACTGGTAAGATTCTTGCAGGCAATATGTGCATCACATCAAGATTATTAGAAAGTTGTTTATTGTTGGTTATGTTGAGTTGTTATTATTTAACACCGTATTGGGGTCATCAATTGATAAAAGATATGAATAAATTTCACTAAGATGGTTAATTTCCGATCTTTTGTTGATACAATTTGGTTCTTGGGCAATGAAAGACATTTCCAAAAAAGTTCTTTTTTTGTGGTTACTTTCTGTAGCTAAAATTCTTGCTGATTGAAAATCCATTTTGTGATCAGAGGAATTAACATGGTCCGCCAAAGCACATCTTTCTTGATGAAGCCTACAGTCGCTCCTGTGGGATGTGATTCTGTTGGCTAATGATCTCTTTGATTTCCCGATGTATATTTTATCACAATCCTGACAGGGGATGCTGTACACCACATTCGTCTGTGCAGTAAGAGGTACTTTGTCTTTGACTTTGGTGTAAATTGATCTAATTGTTAAAACTGTTTTATTGGCAATTTTTAGGTTGGGATTTGGAAGAAAAATTCTTGTGAGTTTTGGAGATAAATCTGATATGTACGGAAGTGAAGAAAAAATTGTATGAATTGGAGGAGTATCAGTAACAACATTCTCATGCAATTGATTGTTGATTTCAGGTGGAGCTGTCTGTGTCATGGGTGCACTGTGTAGAATTTTTTTGACTAATTGTGGTGGATATGAATTTTCTATGAATAAAGATTGTAAAATATTTAAATTCTTCTTCTGATACATCATTTCACAGGAAGAATTTGAATATTTTACAATCTTTATTCATAGAAAATTCATATCCACCACAATTAGTCAAAAAAATTCTACACAGTGCACCCATGACACAGACAGCTCCACCTGAAATCAACAATCAATTGCATGAGACTGTTGTTACTGATACTCCTCCAATTCATACAATTTTTTCTTCACTTCCGTACATATCAGATTTAACTCCAAAACTCACAAGAATTTTTCTTCCAAATCCCAACCTAAAAATTGCCAATAAAACAGTTTTAACAATTAGATCAATTTACACCAGAGTCAAAGACAAAGTACCTACCTCTTACTGCACAGACGAATGTGGTGTACAGCATCCCCTGTCAGGATTGTGATAAAATATACATCGGGCAATCAAAGAGATCATTAGCCAACAGAATCACATCCCACAGGAGCGACTGTAGGCTTCATACAGAAAGATGTGCTTTGGCGGACCATGTTAATTCCTCTGATCACAAAATGGATTTTCAATCAGCAAGAATTTTAGCTACAGAAAGTAACCACAAAAAAAGAACTTTTTTGGAAATGTCTTTCATTGCCCAAGAACCAAATTGTATCAACAAAAGATCGGACATTAACCATCTTAGTGAAATTCATTCATATCTTTTATCAATTGATAACCCCAATACGGTGTTAAATAATAACAACTCAACATAACCAACAATAAACAACTTTCTAATAATCTTGATGTGATGCACATATTGCCTGCAAGAATCTTACCAGTTTTACTAGTAACTCAAAAACTTTCTCCTTCCAATACTCTTGTGACTAACACACAATAGCACTAGGTACCATAAGACCAAGGTCATCACACTTAAGCTCCATGTCACCAGTGAATTGGAAGAATAAGGTTCAGTTTTCCAAACCAAAGATTTTTATTCTGACACACGTTGTGAAAAGAAAAGTTTCATCATGATTTTAAATCAACAACGTTTTTGATATTGACCTAATATTTTAATTTTTTGAATTTGTCATGTTCCAGATATGTTATACAAACGTTTTTTTATTTATACATACCTTGTTAGTAACATCAATGTAACCAACCTGAATGAGTTGAAAGTACTGCACCACTTAGTCAACTAGCTTTGCTTATAATTGTTATAACATTTTGTAGTCTGGCCCTGATGATGGAAATATAACTTTCCGAAAGCTTGGACGAACTTGCATGAGTTTCACTTTTACTTGCTGCTTCCCCACTACTAAGTTTCATATATATATATATATATATATATATATACCGGGTGTCCCAGTATACCTGTTCCAATAGATTATCTCAGTCATTTCGAAAGTAACAAATTTGAAAATTTCATGATCTCCAATTCGTTCAAGGAACCTTCAGCTGAGAAAAACGAAAATTGAAAGTCACTTCCGGTTTGACCGGAAGTGACCCTAACTTCTTTATTTCGAATGGCACCCTGTATATTTTTTGCAATTTTTGCTTTCTACTCAAAATTGCCTTTCCAACGATGTATCACACTTTGTATTTTACATTTGATATGATGAAGAAAACGACAAATTGGAATTTGGAATTAAAATCAGTATCATATCCAATTTCTGTTGAATTGTGAAGTTATCATATCATT